TAGCAATGTACAGATGCAGGGTTGTTGTGATGTACAGATGTAGCAATGTACAGATGCAGGGTTGTTGTGATGTACAGATGTAGCAATGTACAGATGCAGGGTTGTTGTGATGTACAGATGCAGGGTTGTTGTGATGTACAGATGCAGGGTTGTTGTGATGTACAGATGTAGCAATGTACAGATGCAGGATTGTTGTGATGTACAGATGTAGCAATGTACAGATGCAGGGTTGCTGTGATGTACAGATGCAGGGTTGTTGTGATGTACAGATGCAGGGTTGTTGTGATGTACAGATGCAGGGTTGTTGTGATGTACAGATGCAGGGTTGTTGTGATGTACAGATGCAGGGTTGTTGTGATGTACAAATATAGCAATGTACAGATGCAGGGTTGTTGTGATGTACAGATGTAGCAATGTACAGATGCAGGGTTGTTGTGATGTACAGATGTAGCAATGTACAGATGCAGTGTTGTTGTGATGTACAGATGCAGGGTTGTTGTGATGTACAGATGTAGGGTTGTTGTGATGTACAGATGCAGGGTTGTTGTGATGTACAGATGTAGGGTTGTTGTGATGTACAGATGTAGCAATGTACAGATGCAGGGTTGTTGTGATGTACAGATGTAGCAATGTACAGATGCAGGGTTGTTGTGATGTACAGATGTAGGGTTGTTGTGATGTACAGATGCAGGGTTGTTGTGATGTACAGATGCAGGGTTGTTGTGATGTACAGATGTAGCAATGTACAGATGCAGGGTTGTTGTGATGTACAGATGTAGCAATGTACAGATGCAGGGTTGTTGTGATGTACAGATGTAGCAATGTACAGATGCAGGGTTGTTGTGATGTACAGATGTAGCAATGTACAGATGCAGGGTTGTTGTGATGTACAGATGTAGGGTTGTTGTGATGTACAGATGCAGGGTTGTTGTGATGTACAGATGTAGGGTTGTTGTGATGTACAAATATAGCAATGTACAGATGCAGACATATAGCGATGTACAGATGCAGGGTTGTTGTGATGTAGACATATAGCGATGTACAGATGTAGGGTTGTTGTGATGTACAGATATAGCAATGTACAGATGCAGAGTTGTTGGGATGTGTACATGTAACGAGGTACTGTGAGGTGTGGGCTTGAGGTATGATGCAGCCCTGAGGTCAAGTAAGGAATGGTGTTTTCCATCTGAGGTATAGTTTGTGTTTACAGTACTTATTAGGTGCTTGTTTTACAATACATCCATTTCAGAAGCCCTTTGCAGATATATATATATGTATATGGTCTCTACCCACTGTTATACAAACGTTGCTTTCTAAATGCACACGTTGCGGTGCAAAGTTACGTCCCTTACAAAGCGAGGATCCGCTCATCGCATGTTCTGTTCCCAGATTCACCCTGATTATGATCCTCGGCCTGTCATCATATCTTTTCTCGGTGGTGTCACGACAGTGGTCAACGTCTACGACCTGCGTCATGTGGCTTCCTCCAACATTAGGTTGAAGCGCCGTGCTTTAACTAAAAGCTTTCCAAATGGCGTTTAACCCTAATTGACTCGCTCGCCGTCTGAAAGGCTGTATGTGCGTGCCCACTACAAATCGCTTCTGTCTACAAAATTGCCATATTTTGACCACTAATCGCATTGCTGCACGTCGGTTACATTTCTATTTTCAGACAATGCGACAATGTCCCTTTTTGGAGACCATATAAACGTTATCATGAGAAAATGTAAAGCGCGACCTATAGAAAGCGAGGCCATTGTACTGTCACACAAGGCCATACATCACCCTGCTCGTCTATTACCAAACGCCATCTTTCCCAATTATCATTTTCATAACCGGATGTTCTCGAGGTTTACTTTACTGTCTGGTGCTTTCAGTGCTGAATGTACGTCCATTCAGGTCCAGCCTACTCTGACGTTGCCCGGTCTTCCGACTCCGAGTTAATTAACTTATAAGAAGACTGGCACCAGCCTGGGTTAATATCTTTATATTGGACAATGACGAATATTGAGCTTCCGCCCCCTCCTCCCATACGTGATTCTTTCAATAAGGGGACCTGACAGAAATTATATTTGTCCAATTTCTTGACCTCAATTGTCAAACGCTGCCACGATAAGGACAATTGAATAAACCAACACCAAGAAAGGTCCCCGATAGCCAAAGGGTAGATGTAGATGGCTTAACTGTTGCAGAGTTGTGATTGGAAACGCATATATTTGATGGTCTACTTTAGGGATGTCAATTTGGTCTCCGTTATCAAATAACACCCAGCCTTTATGGCCTGTTAGTCTGGTGTAGCGGTTATCTCCCTTGCTGTCGGTTCCGGCCTGAGCTGTGCCAGTAGGAGCTCTCCTCTTGTATAGACAGGTCGAATACAAGGATTATTTTAAAGAACTCCTTATCAAAATATGTTTTATAAATAATTATTTACTGTTTGCAATTGACAACGTTATATAATTTATTAAAAATAACTTGAATTTAGTGTTTTTTCTTCCCACATATATAGACGTGCATTGTTATTAAGCTTAGGTGTGAATCATATGCACGCACGCCAACAAGAATATTATAGCTATCTTCAATGATATTGAGTCAGTGAAAATCCCGAAGGCACTCTAAAAATGAAAATAGCATTAACAGGGATATTGTAGTCAAACATGTAGAATTTTGAATCACATTTGACATTTCATTAGCAAAGCCATAACATTAAATGTTCAATGTCATCTTTAGCAGACTCATGCTGTCTGAAATACGTCAAAGAATGTGCATTAAGCAATTATAATAAATAACATCCCTTGTCAACCAAACATGTAATCTCGTTTGTTTTTTTTTTAGGTGTCAGTGAATTCTGTTAAATACAATCTTTGCTTTCGGGCGGAAAATTAAATGGTCGCTCCCTTCTACTAATGCATATCGTACGCCCCGAATGTGCAATATTACATAATTACATAGTATCTTCAACAAAACGTGTTTTTTTATGAATTTGTAATATGAGATACGCAAGCCGGATTCAAACCATACGCAGCAGTTCAACCAGAAAAGGAGGGTGTGTGCACGGATTTTATCAATATCCCAGTTACCCCCGCAGGAAACACCGACATCGGGCTCAACAAATTGTACCCATATCGAACCATGCACAGGCTTTTACCATCAGAGTGGCCCAGTCGTCTTAGGCGCCGGAATTCGTTGTGCAGAGTTGCGTCCCTTGGGCACGCCAGAAACCTATGTTTGTGGGTTCGAATCCAGGTTCACCCCGATTATGTTTCTAGGTTTGTCAGCACCATACCTGTGGTAAACGTCGCAGACCTGCATCACTCCGGGCTTTCATCCCACATTAAGCTGACACGCCTTGATACGTGGAATACTGTTAAAAGCGGCGTTAAACCCAACTCACTCACGCTCACTAAATCTACAGGGGCACTTACTACAGGGGGCACGTGTGGCCCAGTCGTCTAAAGGCGCCTCGATTCGCTGTGCATTTGTGTCCCTTGGGCACGCCAGGAACCTATGATTATGGGTTTGAATCCAGGTTCGCCCCGATTATGTTTCTAGGTTTGTCAGCACCATACCCGTGCTCGTGGGTTTCACCGAAGTGGAAAACGTCTGAGACCTGCATCACTTCGGGCTTTCCTCCCACATTATGCTGACACGCCGCGATATAACTGGAATACTGTTAAAAGCGGCGTTAAACCCAACTCACTCACTCACTCCATGTACTACAATCGTGCATTTGGTTGTTAGAGTGGTGGGAAATGGGAGGAGGAATTCGGCCTCCCTACCCATATCTGTTTTATTTAAGTGACGAGAAACATAAAATTAATTTCATGTGTCTGAATTCATATTTTGTTACCCGATAATAATACAGTCCCATACTGCCATGAACTCTATAATTCAGCTGGACTAACAAGTACTATGGACGGTCTATATTGATTATTTCCAATATGTCTATTGATGCATGATTTACATGTTGAGGTTATTATACCTGTGCTATTGTTGCGGTCTCACTCAAAACACCATTAGTTTGCCTATGGAAATCCATTAGCCCAGAATTTACTCGACTGACTTCGCTGATGTTTCAATAACATGACGCAGTGATTCACCACTCCCTACTGTATTAACCATATCTCGTTTATCTATTTGAGGGAGGTAATGTTTTGGAGACGTTTGGAGACAACTACAAATCTATTTGAGATTGATGGACAATAGATCCTCGTTCTGGCCGACCCGACTGTGATTGGGATCACGTGGTTACATTGTGTGAGTTAACTGAGGGTCAGCGACATGTTTGGCTTTGTGAGGGCAAAGGTTACGGCTGGACTTGCTCTAAATAAATGCGAAAAAACACTTTCCATAGTCGTAAAAAACCCTGTACGATTCCGACTATATCAAGACCATGTGGTTATGAATCACTATCAAATAGTGATGATACCAGGTGTTCGCGAAAAGGTGAGCACCCGTCACCCGTCACAAACACATGCGATGACAAGTCAATTGTTCACCTGAAAAAACACGGAAACATGTGGTACAAGTCAAAATAGGGAGTTACATCGGACAGCATGCTAAACACATGGTCATGATATAGCCGGAATCGTACAATCGACTCTGCTGGTGTTGTCGCTTGTATTTATTAAACGTAAACTTAAACTGGCCTCGGCTAGAAGTTTACGCACACACGGTGCTTTATTGGTGTAGAAGCCAGAGCCAAAATTTCAGTTTTCCCGGAACCCAACCCCCCCAACCCTCACACACACAAACCCCGCCCCCTCCAAACACACACACACGCGCGCACGCACGCACGCACGCATGCACTGCTGAAATAGTGCTGACTGTGACGTAAAATAAAATTCAGTCACTCACTCACTCAAGATCCGACGGAGAGTATGACAAAACCCTATTCATGTTGAACGAACTGTCCCTGCAATACTTTATGTAAGCAACGCTTGTCCCAAATTTTAGAACACAATCAACCAAATTTGACACAGATAAAACTAAAAGTAACTTACACATAACTTCTCCAAGCATCCATCGGTCCTTGCCGTAGAACTCCAACATGGCGGACGGCTGACACACGAGGAGCACGAGCAGATCCGCCACACTTAGACTCATCAGGAAGTAGTTCATCCGGGTCCTCATGGACTTGAGCCTCACTATGACCTGTATAACCAGGGTGTTCCCTATAATTCCCGTGAGAAACACGACGGTGTTGATTATTGTGAAATACAGGATGAGATACAGAGGCATTTCCATCTTCATGGATTCCAGGTCGGATTCTGATGGAGTAATGTTGTTAAAAACACTCAGGTTGCCGTCTATGATGTTGTACAGAGAAGAAGACGTCGTCATGTTGAGACAGCAATCCGTTTTGTCCACAATGCTGATAACACGGGTTATGTCCCCTTCCTGACCCCCAACACCCTCGATGCGCATGTCCGACGAGGTCATTTTAAAATGGCGTTAAGGAAAAGCACACTTCAATGAGGTTACAAGTATATCTCTACTCCCATCTGTCCGAAAACTGAAAGAAGAAGAATAGTGAACATCAGTACCGTAAATCCGATAAATATCGACTAAAAAAGAAAAGTGAAAGTACAAAAATGCCACATACCACGAGAATCACTCCATCCATAAGAAGGGCGCACGTCATTAACTCCGCAGGGATAGAGAGCTTCCTATCTTGACTGTAGCTGACTCCTCCTGCACCAGACGTCACATGAGTTTGATTTAGCAGCCTTGGAATTGGACAGGGATCCTGGGAGCGCTTGGTCCTATAAACAGGATATATATTCATTAACTGTTGGTGTCGTAGTTACAGATGATAGTCCGCGGTCGCTGGGGACTACGGAAGTAGGGCAACTCTACACAGCTGTGATAGACTGTTCATTATTCTTCATGTATACGATAGTACAACACAGCGTTAGTAATGTTGATGTCGTGTAAATTAAACATGCTAATTATTCCGAACATTTATGCATGGAATTATAGCCAGTGTGGATATGCAAATTAAACACAATGACCATTATGAAACAAAGTGAAAATGTTAAACTAAGCATCGTCTCGATGGTTGGAGATGTTTTATGATTCTCCTGTCAGCTGTAA